AATGCCATTTCTGTCATTTACATGTAGGAGGAGCTGCTAGTTGGCAGTTCATGGTACTGGGCTATTCCATGCAGTCTCTGTGTCCAGCAGAAAAAGATGCGCCTGTATACCTGTTCTCCACTTCCTTGGTAGCAAGGGTCCTGTCCAGGAGTGAGACACCATTTGAGCAGCCCTTCAGTTCTGTATTTCCCTGAGTGTTGCCTCTCAATTCGGTTGCAGGTGTCGGTGACTGGTCCCATAGCAATGAGGGAATGATCACAGCGTCAATCAGCATCTCGGGCCAATGAATCAGTACCTCGCATAGATGTTGAGTGTCTGGTTTGAGAGGTTCATACTGAGAAAGCAGGACAATCAGCGAGCTATTTTAAGTGCCTGTACACAAATGCAAGAAGCCTGGGAAACAAGCAGGGAGAACTGGAAGTCGTGGCCCAGTCAAGGAATTATGATGTGATTGGAATAACTGAGACTTGATGGGATAACTCACATGACTGGAGTACTATCATGGATGGATATAAACTGTTTAGGAAGGACAGGCTGGGCAGAAAAGGTGGGGGAGTTGCATTGTATGTAAGAGAGCAGTATGACTGCTCAAAGCTCTGGTATGAAACTGTAGACAAACCTGAGAGTCTCTAGATTAAGCTTAGACGTGTGAGCAACAAGGGTGATGTTGTGGTGGGAGTCTACTATAGACCACCAGACCAGGGGGAGGCGGCTTTCTTCAGGCAACTAACAGAAGTTACTAGATCACAGGCCCTGGCTCACATGGGGGACTTCAATCACCCTGATATCTGCTGGGAGAGTAATACAGCAGTGCACAGACAATCCAGGAAGTTTTTGGAAAGTGTAGGGGACAATTTCCTGGTGCAAGTGCTGGAGGAACCAACTAGGGGCAGAGCTCTTCTTGACCTGCTGCTCACAAACAGAGAGAAGCAAAAGTGGATGGGAATCTGGGAGGCAGTAACCATGAGATGGTCGAGTTCAGGATCCTGACATAAGGAAGAAAGGAGAGCAGCAGAATACGGACCCTGGACTTCAGAAAAGCAGACTTTGACTCCCTCAGTTAACTGATGGGCAGGATACCCTGGGAGAATAACATGAGGGGGAAAGGAGTCCAAGAGAGCTGGCTGTATTTTAAAAGAATCCTTATTGAGGTTGAGGGGAAAAAAACATCCTGATGTGTAGAAAGAATAGTAAGTATGGCAGGCAACCAGCTTGGCTTAACAGTGAAATCCTTGCTGATCTTAAACGCAAAAAAGAAACTTACAAGAAGTGGAAGATTGGACAAATGACCAGGGAGGAGTATAAAAGATATTGCTCAGGCATGCAGGAGTGAAATCAGGAAGGCCAAATCACACTTGGAGTTGCAGGTAGCAAGAGATGTCAAGAGTAACAAGAAGGGTTTCTTCAGGTATATTAGCAACAAGAAGGTAGTCAAGGAAAGTGTGGGCCCCTTACTGAATGGGGGAGGCAACAGAGGATGTGGAAAAAGCTAATGTACTCAATGCTTTTTTTTACCTCGGTCTTCACGAACAAGGTCAGTTCCCAGACTGCTGGACTGGGCAGCACAGTACGGGGAGGAGGAGAAGTGGTTCAGGACTGTTTAGAAAAACTGGACGAGCACAAGTCCATGGGGCCAGATGCACTGCATCCGAGGGTGCTAAAGGAGTTGGCGAATGTGATTGCAGAGCCATTGGCCATTATCTTTGAAAACTCATGGCGATCAGGGGAGGTCCCAGATGACTGGAAAAAGGCTAATGTAGTGCCAATCTTTTTAAAAAAGGGAAGGAGGAGGATCTGGGGAGCTACATGCCAGTCAGCCTCACCTCAGTCCCTGGAAAAGTCATGGAGCAGGTCCTCAAGGAATCAATTTTGAAGCACGTAGAGGAGAGGAAAGTGATCAGGCACAGTCAGCATGGATTCACCAAGGGGAAGTCATGCCTGACTAACCTAATTGCCTTCTATGATGAGATAACTGGCTCTGTGGATGAGGGGAAAGCAGTGGACATGTTATTGCTTGACTTTAGCAAAGCTTTTGATACGGTCTCCCACAGTATTCTTACCGCAAGTTAAAGTAGTATGGACTGGATGAATGGACTATAAGGTGGATAGAAAGCTGGCTAGATTGTCGGGCTCAATGGGTAGTGATCAATGGCTCCATGTCTAGTTGGCAGCCGGTTTCAAGCGGAGTGCCCCAAGGGTCGGTCCTGGGGCTGGTTTTGTTCAATATCTTCATTAATGATTTGGAGGATGGCATGGACTGTACTCTCAGCAAGTTTGCAGATGACACTAAACTGGGAGGAGTGGTAGATATGCTGGAGTGTAGGGATTGGATCCAGAGGGACCTAGACAAATTAGAAGATTGGGCCAAAAGAAACCTGATGACATTCAACAAGGACAAGTGCAGAGTCCTGCACTTAGGACGGAAGAATCCCAGGCACTGATACAGACTAGGGACCGAGTGGCTAGGCAGCAATTCGGCAGAAAAGGACCTAGGGGTTACAGTGGATGAGAAGCTGGATGAGTCGACAGTGTGCCCTTGTTGCCAAGAAGGCTAATGGCATTTTGGGCTGTAAAAGTAGGAGCATTGCCAGTAGATCGAGGGACGTGATCATTCCCCTCTATTCGTCATTGGTGAGGCCTCATCTCGAGTACTGTGTCCAGTTTTGGGCCCCACACTACAAGAAGGATGTGGAAAAATTGGAAAGAGTCCAGCGGAAGGCAACGAAAATGATTAGGGGGCTGGAGCACATGACTTATGAGGAGAGGCTGAGGGAACTGGGATTATTTAGTCTGTAGAAGAGAAGAAAGGGGTGGGGGGTTGCTAGTTGCTTTCAACTACCTGAAAGGGGGTTCCAAAGAAGATGGATCTAGACTATTCTCAGTGGTAGCAGATGACAGAACAAGGAGTAATGGTCGCAAGTAGCAGTGCAGGAGGTATAGGTTGGATATTAGGAAAAACTTTTTCATTGGGAGGGTGATGAGGCTCTGGAATGGATTACCTATGGAGGTGGTGGAATCTCCTTCCTTAGATGTTTTTAAGGCCCAGCTTGACAAAGCCCTGGCTGGGATGATTTAGTTGGGGATTGGTTCTGCTTTGAGCAGGGGGTTGGATGGGACCTCCTGAGGTCCCATCCAACCCTGATATTCTAGGGTAGTCCTGCCTCAGCAAACTCGGGGCTTGTCTACAGGAATATTTCATTTACAGCAAGCTGGTGTGTGACTCTACCCCATACTAGTCTGCTGCAGAGTAACTGTCCGCGTTGACCCTGCTGAATCGCTTTAACAGTTTATTAGTGCACTTCGATCTAGTCCACTTTGAACTGGGACTCAATCAAATCACGGTAATGAACTGTTCATGCGAATCAGCAGAGTCCACATGGACACTTAGTCCATGGCAGGCTAGTGTGGGGGTAGATTCACACTCCAGCTTGCTGTGAACTAAATTTTCACATAGGCAAGCCCTCGGACTGGTGGTTTATACTAGAGCTCTTCCCCCTTCTCCGCTGCATTCGGTCTGACACTTAAGTGTTCGTTCCTAAATTGATCAGCTTCCTTTGGAAGCAGCCATTGCCTGTTAACTCTTTGTTCCTTCCGCTCACGCTCTGGACTGCAGCACCTCCTGACACAGGTCTAGCGAGGTGGTGGTGGTCTTGAGTCATTCTAGGACAGATAGCTGCTTAGCTGGTTTAACGTTCTCCTAACGTTCTCCATCCTAGAGAGGCTGCCCCCTCCCACTTTAATTGGGAAGGCCCTTACATGGAATAAGGCCCTTAAAGGAGCTCATCTCCAAAACTTTTCTCGACCCCAACTAGCTGGGCAGAGTTAGAGCTGAGTGAAAACTCCAGGGACTGCCTCTTTGTTTTCCCGGCTGCTGTAACCTACAGATAAGGGCCTTGAGGGAAGGTGGGTCAGACTGCCATGGTCTCAATCTACAATCTGCCTCGTGGTCTGTTAGGGAATTTACCCCGCCTCATACCTTTGAAGGCATGGGCAGTTCTTGTTGCTTTAGGGTTTGTTAGAGGTCTTGGTGGTCTGTTGATGATGAACCATTCATTAGGATCTTACTATTCTGTGCTGGCCTCGCTGGTCACACTGCAGCAAGAGTGCACGTGGCAGGATTTCTAGGCATCCCTTGAGCTTCTTGTTCTCCAAGAGTGGCAACTTGCCTTTAAAGAAGGGATGCTTACTTTGTAATTCTGCTCTGTGAAGAGCCCACACAGGGTTCTAACTCACCCATCCTTCCACCTCCCCAGAATACGGGGCCCTACACTAAGGCAAAGGGTTGCATTTAAAAAAACCAGCACTTTTCTTTTGCCCTTGATACTGTGAACTGTGCAATTCTCACGGTGCAGTGGTGCACAGCTAGATTTGTAAGGGAGCTCTTGCTTCACATGCATTCAGGAACTGACAGAAAATATTCTTGGGGGAACTGAGGCTGTGACATTGGGAATAGAAGGAGCTGGTGCAAAACACTGGTCAAGGGGAGTGGGTACCTGCTTGAACATGGTACCCATGAGTGCGAATCCTGCAGTTATGGTACGTACAGAGAAGTAGAATTGCAAGATGAGTAACTCTCCTTTCATTTATGGGGTAGAAGGGCTTTATATCCTGCTGTATAAGTAACACCTGGTCCAGCTACTTTGGCCATGGGGACCCTTGTCAATGTCTGAATCCAAGCTGAATAGCAATAATTTCAGACTTGATTCACACTGCTTCTGTGCCTTTAAAAGCACTTTCAGCCACTGTTTCTGGGCAAACTAACCTTCTGGCCTTTGGGTCTCATAGGTTGCACTCAAAGCCTTCCTGGAAGGGAGGCTGGTCAATCTGAAGATTGAGGCCAGCTGCACACAGCATGGCTACAGGGTGTAATGCATGTATGTGGTGAGGGGAAACAAAACTGTACCTCCAAAAGTCTAAATACTGATGCAGCCTTTCTTGCCCTCCCCCTGCTTTCCCGTTTAATGCCTTTCCTTCCATGGAACTGGGTGGTGGCAAAGCAGCTCCCCATATTGAAGATTTGGTGATGCTTCCAACTCCAGTGCTAAGGCTGCTCAATGTCTTGAGTGACGCTTCTCTTCAGAGTGAAGAAGAATATGAAGGTTGGTATCTGTATTACAGACTGCAGTGCAGTAATGTTGTCGTACAAATCCACATCCCAGAATGCTGTTGGGATCAGAGTGGGATGAGAGTTTAGAGGCATAAGGAAAAGGGAGCGAAGAAACTCAGCTGGGATTTGAAACAAGTGCACAGGTACAGGAAGGCTGTTCCAGATGGCAGGAGTTGCAGAGAATGCTCTGAGAAGAGACTGGGCCTAGCTGATTAGAGAGGGTGACCCAGAGATTGGAGTAAGTTCATGGATGGCTAGAAGGGCTGCTTAAGCACATAACCCATGGGTCAAAGCAGCGCCAGATGCCTGCATGTGCAGAACAGGGTGGGAGGGAGGGGAGAATGCTGAAATGCGTTGAGTGATGTCATTCAGACATCAGCAGAGATTTAAAATAATCTATCTGTATTGTCGTACAGTAGCAGCGTTGTGTACAAAGTGCAGACGCTCGGAGAAAGCTAGGAGAGCCCCCTATGGGAGTAGGCTATAGGATGAGCTCTCTTCACAAAGAGCCTGGCTTGTAGTAGCCGGGTTTCCTCCCAGCTTTAAGTGATATTATAACCCAGTACAGAGCACTCATGGAACTTCCAGCTTCTAGCTGTGCAAAACAATCAGTGAGTGCACACATCAGGGAACAAGACTGGCCCCACTCCTGTGAGCAAGCAGTGCAGCCACACGTGTCTAGTCCGTGACACTAATGTTTTCCCTCTGGGGACCCAGGCTCTCACCCTTGTCCTAGACAGGGCTTGTTCCCACTGTGATGTAGCAGAGACTTGGTGACTGAAGGATGCAGCACTCTGCCAGACCCTATATGTCCTCTGTCTGGAACTGAGACCCCTTTAAATAACATGATTTTTCTGTTGATGCTTCTGGGACAAGTAGAATCAGTGGGTGGCCCACTGAGTTCAGGCATTTCTGGGGGCTGGGAATACTCCAGGTACAAAAGCCCCCTTGCCATGTGTTGGGAACAGGGAGCAATGCCCCTCCCCAGCCTCCATGCTCCTGGGTCTGACATCAGGTCGCTGCTGCCTCCCAGCAGCAGCCTTATCTAAATGCTCCTGTACGTCTCCTGTGGCAATCTTCCAATCCCCTCCCTCTCCTGGTGGACAGGCTGGGGGGACAGTCGGCAGCGGGGAGGCAGACAGCAGCAGGGCTGTCGCCACCTCCCAAGTAGCAGGGCTATGGAGCAGAAAAGTCATTGAGACACCCCAGTGTCTAGGGAGAAATAACAGTTCCCCACCCCCACACCAAGGGTTGTGGTAGCATCTTCCCTTCAGTGCTTGACTCCTGGTGGGGAAGGTGAAGTTAATGGGGTTTAAGAAGAGCTGGAGCATCATGGGATAAGTACTCTCCTGGGCACCATGATGGGATTGCTGCCTACTATTCATGCAAGAGCGTAGGGTGCCTCAGGACCACCATGTGCTTCAATGTGCCCAAGTGGGTAACAGGAGGGAGCTGGAGCTGGACTCCAGGCTCCCTGTAGCACCCCTGAGATCCTGTGCTTCCTATGGCCTGCCTCCCACCACATTGCAGAGTTCGGGGAAAGCACGCTAGCTGAGCAGATTCCCTGGCTCCCCAGCTGGTATCCCAGTTTGCCACCTGCTTCCCCAGGTTCTCCCCCAGGACTCTTGTTTTTGGTTCCAGACTTGCCTCTTTAAAATCTGTAGGAGCTGCTGAGAGCCACATTGAGCACCTCCTGGGCCTAGCGAGATCTGCAGAAGATCCTATAGATCAGGGGCAGGTGGAGTAGGTATGAAGATATGAAGGGTGGGGAGAGCTGGGTGGCTGCTCTCTGGAATTCCCTCCTATAGGCTTAGCACTTCTTTCCAGTATGTGTCCTTGCAGAGCATTGGCAGCCACTCTGTAGGCTAACCCTGATATTGCCCCTTCCTCAAAACCTGCAGCAGAAGTTCTGCCAAACCAGGGGCCAGCAGAGAATTTTTTCACCAAACTGGAGGGTATTTGGGCAAGTCATTTTTATTGAGGTAGCATTTCAGTCCATCATGAGAACTTTCCAGTGCTGGCTTAGCCACGGCCTTGCTCGGGCAAGTCACTTCACTATCTGCCCAGCCTCTGGCACGCCTTCCCTCTCCCTGCCAGGATTCTCTTGGTCTTAGGTGGGTCGCTGCCAAGCCAGCTCCGTCCAGATTCCAGCTCACTCAGACATTGGGACATCTCTGGTGTACGCAGACAAAGAAGGAGAATTAAGTGTACGATGAGAAGTGACTGATCCAGACTCAGTCGGGACTGCTCACATTCCACACAGTTGGATTGCCCTAGTGTGGTTTATAACTGGTAATAGTTTGCAAAGCACAGGCCACATGGCTTTCTCTTCCCTCAGATGTGCTGGAAGACATAAGAGAGGAGTGTCAGAAATACGGCACGGTGGTTTCCTTGCTTGTTCCAAAGGAGAATCCTGGCAAAGGCCAAGTAAGTGTGGAGGGGAAGGGGCTTGATATTTACACTACCAGCCTCACTGTCAAGCATTAATCCTGCTGGATGAGGGCAGTACTGTGCAACTAGAAGTATCTGGTTCTGTTGTGCAGCAGCATGAATTTGTCAAGGTAGCTCAGTGTTTCCTAGCCTAAGAGATGCCAGACTAGTTTTAGGGGAGGCTTTGGGGTACAGATTGAGATTGTTTCGGCCCCAAGACCTCTAATCATTTGCTTTACCAGATAAAACTGCGGCGACGGCCGGGTATGGGCCCGACGCTCCAGCGCCATCCATTTTCAGGGCTAGTTGATTTTGGGGTACAGAGTGGAGGATGAGGAAAGTGGGGTGAGAAAGGGGTGTGTTAAGATGCTCAGCGCCAACTTGCTAAATGTCTAGTCCAGAGAAATGAGGAATGGTAGGTAGAAGCTTAACTGGCCTTCCCTACAGACTCAGGCTGTGTGACCCCCTTCCCTGCTGTTCTAGTCCCACGGAGTCTGCTGAGGGCACTCTGGAGTTACAGGCAAGGAAATCAGTTCACTAGCGATAATTCCTCACTAAGGAGGAGAGGAATAAAGCCAAACTTACCCAATCAGTGGGTGATGGATGAAATCCCTGGGGTCTGTGACTCAATGGCAGTGATGCCCTTGTCTCTGTCTTTTCAGGTCTTCGTTGAATATGCAAATGCTGGTGATTCCAAAGCTGCCCAGAAATTGCTCACTGGAAGGATGTTTGATGGCAAGTTTGTTGTGGCTACGTTTTACCCCCTGAGTGCCTATAAGAGAGGGTATCTGTACCAAACATTGCTCTAGCAGCAGCAGCCATCAGGAGAGTCGGCAGCACCTTTTCTTCATTTCAGTGTGTTCTGCAGTTGAATGTACAAAGAGCTTCCCAGCCCTGCTTTTGAGTAGTTTTGAAAGGAGATCTGCACAGGACAGAACTGGACTTTTGCCCTCTAGTGCTGCTTTGTCCTGTACAAAGGTAGCCCATGCGGCTTTAAAATGATCTGTGTTCTGCTTGTTTGGTTACATTAGAGATGTGGCTCTTGCCTACCCTGGAAGGCTCTCGAGTGACTGGAGTAAGCAGTGGCATTGCCATCACAGGAGACTCGATATCTAAGCAATTGAGGTTAAGTCTGGTTCAGACTGTTAAAAATGTTGCTTCAGTGTCTTGACACTAATGATTGACTAATGTTTGGGGAAAGGATCTCTCTGTTAACTATTCATTAGCGGAGTGAGAACCCCTTCCCCCCCCACCCCACCCCATACACTTGTTCTGAGACACCCAGGAGGCCCTCTGGCAAGAACAGGAAAGACTACACTTTTTTTTTCCTGTTATCTAAGGTAAAAAGACAAGCAGAAACCCCTGCATCTCTGGGGTGGGTGGGGGAGACTTCCGGTCTCTCCACCCCATAAAGTAGTGGCCATCTGGCCTTTGGGGTTACGCTGTCACTGACAGCTGGCCCAGGGAGACCTGTAAAATTTCCTCCGCTCTAGCGTCCGCTGTTGTCTTGTTGGGAAACTGATTGTCAGTGTCAGTGAAGGCAAACTGCTGTCTGAGAGCAGGGCACCTGCAGCAAAGTGAGTTCACTTGTATGGACAGGCTGGGCAAATGTGGAATCCATTAAGCATCTTTGGGGAAAGGACAGTGTTAGTCCTGACCCCTGTAACACCATGTAATCTAGAGGTTACACATTGCCATAGTATGGAGTCATCTACCGCAGCTGACATCCATTGCTCTTAGTACGAGTGCCAAAGAGTGCATAATGGAGAGGCATTCCCAGCCTCAGCAGGATGTCTATTCTGAAGACTTTTTTAAGGGAGAGCAAATTTGTACCTGTCGTCATTTCCTTGTTTGGCTTCTGTTGTAGCATGTGTGGTTTTTTTGCTTTAGCCAGTGTTGATTTATTGGAACTGTGGCAGTAAGCAGGAAGCACTGACACTTTGGGCTCTCCATAGGGTACACAAAGGGCCTGAGACAATACAAGATCCTTTAGAACAAGAATCCTTGAAATAATCCTACTTGACTGCTAAGGGCCTCCTTCAGGGTGATGCATTCTAGTGCTAGAGGGACTGTGGGGTTAGCAAGCACATTAGTTGGATGCTGTTCAGGAGCGCTGCCAGCTTTTCTGATGCCCTAGGCAGCGGGAAGGTCCCGCCCCAAAATGCCGCCCCCCCACAGAGGCAGCGGAAGGTCCCGCCACCGAAATACCGCTGCGATCGCCGCCCCCCGAATTGTAGCGCCCTAGGCCGCCTAATGGGTTGCGCCGGCCCTGATGCTGTTAGGAAAGAAACAGATTGGGTGTGGCCCATGTCACTGCTTCTCTCAACAGGAGAGCAGCCTAAATTCGACTCATGTTCTACTTGCAGTGCTTTAGCATTGAGAAAGAGCTGCTAGAACAGTAGTTCTCAAACTTTTGTACTGGTGACCCCTTTCACACAGCAAGCCTCTGAGTGCGACCCCCTCTTATAAATTAAAAACATTTTTTTCTATATTTAACACCATTATAAATGGTGGATGCAAAGCGGGGTTCGGGGTGGAGGCTGACAGCTCGCGACCCCCCAATCTAATAACCTCGCGACCCCCCTGAGAGGTCCCGCACTAGAATGTAGTGTTTACAAACCCCACATGCACAGACCCCTTCCTTTGAGTGATAGGCACAGGAGGCGAGGAAGTAAAATAACCCTAGAGGGTGTGGAAGCTGCTGCACCAGTTTTAGTGCCGAGGAGAGGCCTCTGATCCCAAGCCCTGTCTAGAGAAATCTGGGGCAATTGTTGAAGAGATGTCCCTACCTCACCCTGCATTGAGGCCGCTGCGCTTATCCGGGCAATGTGCTGCTAGCATCCTGCCCAGGCTGGACTTCCAGCATTCTGCACTTGATCTTTCCTGCTGATATTGCCAGTGTGTCATGCGAGAGTCAGTCTGCAACATGTCATAAGTCACTTGTCTTCATTCCTTCTCTGTGCTGCTGTGAAGTGGCTACTGCCATGCTGTAGTTAAAGTGGAAGCTGGCTTCCCATTATAAGCCCCATATTTAACCCTTCCCTAGCTCCTCCAGAAAGAGCCTGATCTTCCTGAGTTTTTCTGTGCCACTTCTCACTCAAGGTAGAGGCTTTTCTGGGGAGTTTGGTAAAAATCCCAAAAGGAATTTTGATGTTTTAAAAATGAGCCTGTGATTCATTGATCAGACTGTTCCGAAGTGTGGTTCAGAGTATCCCAAACAGGGTTTCACCTGGGGACTCCAGCTGTGCGTGCTTTGTTTGCGTGTGCTTAGCTGGCCTTGCTGAGACATGCCTCTGAGTGTCCAGGAGCTATATTAGTGTTGGGTTTTCAGTGTGTGAAGAGCTGGGTTTATATTTATGGATGTTTAGTATTTTGGTAGTTTAAACTGCCATGCTACTGACCTGACTGCTGCTATCTGCCAGGCTGAGCCACAGGGGGAGGACACCAAGGGCTGTCTGTGCTGGAGATGAGGTCATGTTAATTAACACAACATTCAAACACTCTGGATGTGAAGATGGCCCTGTTCAGATCATTGTCAGCTGGCCCGACTTCACACTCACCTTCACCCTCTGCTTAGACCCAGACCATCCTGTTTAAATGTGACCTTCCCCAAGACTGACTAGCTCTGGCTGGGGGAGCTGTGCTGTGATGGGAGGGCTCTGAGAAAGATGGGGTATGGACTGGGGAGCACATAGAGGGGTGGCGTTAAGCCAAGGGCTTGGGAAAGGGCATGCATGGGGGGAGGGGGTGATGGGAGCCCAGAAAGGGACCGTGAGGAGGAGACAGTAGGGCATGCACAGGCATGGTAGGAACTCAGGATGGGATACCGAGGAGTGCGAAGAGACCATGGGGTGCCTGACTAGCACAGAGTGGGGGTGGGTAAGATGCAGTGTTTTGTCTATGGTAACTTTAAGAGCTCAGTCTTCTAGATACCAACCTTGAGGTGCGTAAAGTGTCCCCGTGCTAAACCTCTCCTTGCCCACCCCAAACCCCGATGGGCACCCAGACATAGCCTCAGCACACCTTGCTGTGGCCTGGAGCAGCTGGTCCTGGAGGGAGCACTGCTCCACCAGCCCTATGGAAACAGGCCTTGTTTGGGAACCCTAACCCATCCCTCCTGGGAGAGTGTCAATGGGATCCAGCTGCACACCAGTCCCAACGTCACTGGGACAGGGAGCTTTCCTTGGGCAGCAGGTGACTGGCGTCTCTTCAGCCTGCCTGGCCAAGGGGGTGATTTGGCCCCACAGTTCAGCGAACTTTCCCCCCTTGGGATTTGCTCCCTCTCAGCCAGTCTCCATGTCAGAGAGGCCCCCGAGGCTCCCTCAGGTCTGCCCATCTTTCTCTGGCTGTCAGACCATGCCCCACCCCTCAGGGGCCTTTTCCCCAGACATTGGCTGCTCTCATGGCAGTCCATTTGTGTACCCCATGTGGGCTGTGTGCCTGGGGAGACCCTGACAAGTGCCACAGCTCCCCCCAGCTCTCTAGCAGAAAGTCCCCCGAGATTGTGCCCCGTCATGGGTCTCTCCCTTGCTGGGAAGGAGGCAGCCTCTGTCCCCCAGCTTTGCCCAGCATTCCTTGATTTCCCAGCCCCCATTCTGGGGAACAGGCTGTGCTGGGTCTGTCTCTTTCCCCCCAGCCTCCATTAGGGGCTGACCGCACCCTGTCAGAGTTACAGGGTTCAGCTGCTCCCCCAGTGCCAGACATGCCTTTGCTCGCTCACTGCCTCACCCATCCGACTCTGTGCCCCCTACAGAATGCAGAAATGGAAGCAAAGGTCAAAATAACCATTTATTAGGAGACTGGAATCTCATTTCCTGTCCCAGGGGCCCATCTCCTATGACCTAGACACTAGCTTTGACCTTGGGGTATCTTACAAATTTGGAGGCCCAGCTAAGCCTGTGGGGGATGTAATGAGTAGGTGAAGGATTATGCAGCAGGGCGGGAAACAGCAGCTGCTTCCCAAACAGGCCATTTCCAGGCCACACAACGCTGGGGCTTGGGTGCTTTGTGTTCAGTGTGTGTATGGGGGTGCTTTGCTCACTGGATCCCAGCCTTTGCTCCTTTGCAAGGCCCGGTTTTGTTAGGTGCCTGTTCTAAGTAGCAGAGCCAAGCTGTTACTAACCCCTAGAGGGGAGACAGGGCTTCCTGGTGGAGCATAGGGGATGTTCTTGTTCATCTTGGCAGAGTTAGCTACCAAAGATGCTGGCTGGGTTTTGTTTAATAGCTTTAATAGATTTGAACCAAATAAACCTGCAAAATGCAAACCACTTTTACTAGCTTTTGTCTCTTGGATGCCCTGGGAAAGCAGGGCCTGAGCCAGTAAGGATCCTTGGAATTTGTTTCTGGATGTTGGTCCTGGCCACACCCCAATGTGAGCCTTAATGTTCTGCTCCCTAATGTCCCTGTGCGACTTTAGCTACATACAAACATTGCTAAAGCAGAACCAACAGTGTGTTGGAGGGAGGCCTTCCCAAGCGCCCACCTAGTAAGCACTTGGTCGTCTTTACACGTGGCTGTCCTGTTTGCCTTTGAGCCTTGCTGTGGAGCAGTCAGGTTAAAACCAGATCTCTCGGAAGAGCATGTTGATTGGTGCACCTTTTGCTGGTGGTATTTTAGCATGATTAAGGGCACGTCTTCACTACCTGACGGATTGGCGGGTAGCAAACGATCTATTGGGGATCGACTTATCGCATCTAGTGAAGACACGATAAAATCGATCCCTGATTGCTCTGCCGTCGACTCCGGAAATCCACTGCGGCAAGAGGCGGAAGAGGAGTCGACGGTGAAGCGGCAGCGGTCGACTCTCCGCCGTCCTCACAGCCAGGTAAGTCAACCTAAAATACGCAACTTCAGCTACGCTATTCACATAGCTGAAGTTGCGTATCTTAGGTCGACTCACCCCTCCCCCCCCCCCCCCCCCCCCCCCCCCCCCCC